TATTATTATGCAGGATTTATATTATTATTATTATGCAGGATTTATATTATTATACAGGATTTATATTATTATTATTATACAGGATTTATATTATTATACAGGATTTATATTATTATTTATACAGGATTTATATTATTATACAGGATTATATATTATTTATTATTATACAGGATTTATGGCACCAACAGTTTGCTCAGCACTTTACAATATAACGGGAGATAATACAGTCACAATACAGTTCAATACAAGAGGGTTAGGAGGGCCCTGATCCTGGGAGCTTATAATATATTTTATTTTTTTTTTTTTCAGCTGAAACTCTGCTTTAAAAATACCACCAAAAGAAAGCTTTATTTGTGTGGAAAAAAATGATAAAAATGTCATTTCGGGTACAATGTCGCATGACATGAAAGTGCGACAGCGCTGAAAGCTGAGAAAATTGGCCTGGGCAGGAAGGGAGGAAAGTGCGTGGTAGACGAGTTCTGTGCGGTGTTTCCCAAGAACATGCCATATCAAGACTTGATATTGAGGTGCGTTAAAAAAAAAAAAAAAAAAAAAAAAGCCCACAAAATCTCATCTCTTTTATCTCATCTATTTTACAAAAAAAAAAAAAAAAATTATAGGAGATTATATTTTGCTTGTATGCAGCATTAGTTTGAGTGTAACACACACACACACGTGTTTTACTTTTTAATCCGGTATATTCTACCAGTCCTTACAACCACCAATCAGCTTCACTTGTTGACTTCTGGTCCTAAATTTTATTTCCCCTCATTTTAAAATATGAATATTTGAGGGATGCGTGTGTGTATATTAAGAAACAAAAATACAGATGTGGCATAAAAAAAAAAAAAGAAAAAAAAAATAGCAAATGATAGAGATAAATATATATACATATATATATACACATACATACATATATATAAACACACACACACACATAATAAAAAACAGTGTATTTTATTTTTGTGAAAACAGAGGACCTGTAGATTAAAATTGTGCATATATATATATATATTTATATATATATATATATATATATATATATATATATATATATATATATATATATATGTATATTCATCACCATTTTATTCCACATTTCCTCTGTTTTCACAAAAATAATAAAATATAATAAAAAAAGTGTGTATGTATATATTATTATTATACAGGATTTATATAGCGCCAACAGTTTGCTCAGCACTATATATATTTTATTTTTTTTGTGAAAACAGAGGACCTGTGGATTAAAATGGTGCTTTTATTATTTTTTTTTATCATCACCATTTCAATTACATTTCCTCTGTTTTCACAAAAATAAAAGAAAAGTGTGTATCTCTCCCTCTCTCTCTCTCCCTCTCTCTCTCTCTCTCCCCCCCTCTCTCTCCCTCTCTCTCTCCCTCTCTCTCCCCATCATAGATAGAGAGAGATCCATCATCCATCTCTATCATTTGCTATTTTTTTTTTTTATGCCACATCTGTATTTTTGTTTCTATATACACACACACGCATCCCTCAAAAATTCATATTTTAAAATGGGGGGGGAGGGGGAAATAAAACTTAAGACCAGAAGTGAACGCGTGAAGCTGATTGGTGGTTGTAAGGACTGGTAGAATATACCGGATTAAAAAGTAAAAACAAATTTTAAAGCGCTCGCTAAAATCATTAAAAAAAAAACAAACAAAACAAACCTACGCCATTTAAGAGAAGAAATGAAGCGTTGGATTGGCCCGATTGGCCGCGGGCGATGAAACGCGGAGAATACGGCAAGGTCAGAGTCTCCAGCTACTTGTGGAAGGGAGGAGCTGTCAATCAAACGTTGGCGTGTGTCAGCCGGCGACCTCCTTCAATTACTCAGACGGCTCATTTCCATAATAGATGGCTGGAGAGCATGCTGATCATTTCCCTGCGAATGGAAGGATGAATAATTATCTCATCGCTGGGACATGATACGCGGCTGGTTTTATGGTGCGCCATCCGCTGGAATCGGGGTGAAAGGTGCGCCGTAAAAAGGCCGTCACCGACTTGAAAGGGGCTGATGAACATTAAAGCTGAACTCCGGGCAAACCGCTAATTACACACATAAAAATACATAGAGGGGAGCCGATTGGCCTGTTAAAGGGTTAAGAATCTCTCCACATCCAGTCCTGAGATTTACACAGCTCTGCCACATAGCACAGCCCTGCCTGGCAAGAGGAAGGACCTGATCTTTCCATACTGCAGTTTCACTTTCACTTACAGGTTCCCACCCCATACCTGTGACTGAAGAAATGAGTGCATCTCTCCATCACTCTGCTCTCTCCTCCTATTAGCATGCTCTTTGCACTTTGACACACCTGATTGGCTCTTTGCTCTGCTTCTCCCTCCCTGAGCTCTGCTGTACAGGGGACCTTGAGAGGCTGACACCAGGTCCAGTTTGGAAGTGGGGGGGGGGGGGGTTCTCTTCCCTAGCATGTGCACTACTGAGCTCAGAAATTTAAGGGCGGGACGACCACAGCTCCCCTAATCAGGGCACAGCACCACGGCAGCAGGTTCTACTACGCATGCGCCCCCTGCTGCACACGTGCCCCCTGAGCAAGACAACAGGAGGCGGGAGTGAGCACACCGGGGTGACACCGGACAGGCACTGGAGACACCCTATAGGTCACAGGTGTCAAACTGCATCGCGCCAGCTGTTGAACTACAAGTCCCATCATGCCTCTGCATTTGGGAGCCATGCTTGTAACGGTCTGCCTTGCAACGCCTCGTGGGATTTGTCATTCTGCAACAGTTGTCAGGCTGCAGTACAACACCCTTCCTATAGGTGGAAATGCAACATCGGGTGATCCAGCCAGCCAAGTCTGTATTTCAAAAGCCCAAGCTCTCCGGCGGAATGTCTCAGTTTTACAGGGATGAGACAAACCATTTACCACTGGCAGGGGTGCTCACAGTCATCAGCTTTTATTTATTCAGGCAAAACCTTTATTCCAAAAGAGATAAAAAAAAAAAAAAAAAACCCAAAACCAAAAAAAAAAACCCAAAAACTAAAAAAAAAAAAAAAAAAAAAAAAAAAAAAAACAAACAAGAAAACAAAAAAAAAAACACAAAACAAAAAAAAAACCAACAAAACCAAAAAAAAACCCCAAAAAAGAACCAAAAAAAAAAAAAAAAAAAAAAAAACAGATCAGAAGGTGTTAGCTGGAGCTTGGTTTCAATTTGTTAGTGTATCTAAAATCTGCAAGTCATCGAATACTCCCCTCCCCCCCAGTAGGTTGACATTGCTGATGTGCCTCCTGTGCTCCTTCATCCAGAGTGGGGGCGCTCTAATGCAGGATGTGTGTTACTGGCCAGATCACCGGGTGAAAACCGAGGGGGGAGGGGAAGCCTAAGGGTTGGTTCACACCATAGAAACGCAGTCCAGACGCGCTCCAGATGCGTTTCCGCATGCGCATTTTTGACAAGTTCCGTTGTGTTTTTTATGCTTTCTAGTTCCCCCCCCTCTCTTTTTCTTCAATTCAAATAGGGACATGTGTGTTCCGGTGCATTTTTGGTGCGTTTTACTGCATTCCAGTGCAGCTCTGTGCAGGAAAAATGCAGCCTGTTTTTTTTTTTTTTTTTTTTCTGCACCCGGAACCCACTGGAACTGCAAGCACTGATGAGAACGATGACTCCGACACCCAGATCACCGACTTTCTGTGCGTTTTGGATGCAGAAAAAAAAAAAAAACCCAAAAAAAACAACTGAAACACATGGAGTGTGAATGGACCTTAAAAAAAAGAAAACTAATGCAGCCACATCTGATGATTAGTAAGCTGCGACGTTTGTTGGGTTGAAGACCGCTTTGATAGAATCCTCTCTGGGCTGTAAAGTCAGCCGCGCTACAATGAGAAGCAGAATATCTGGCGAAATGGATGGTTGGGGCTGAGAGAAGAAAACTAATGCAGGCGGCGGCTCCTCTGCTTCCCTACAAACCGAGACGTACGTCCCCCTCCCCCACCCAGACTGGGAATACAGAGCTCCATAGCAGAGGAGGCGTGAGACATGGAAGGATTCCAACAATCGCTCCATTCACTGCGCTCAGCGTGTCGCCCCCGGATCACATGACCAGACTGTCACGCCCGGATCACATGGCCACACTGTCGCCCCCGGATCACATGACCAGACTGTCGCGCCCGGATCACATGGCCACACTGTCGCCACCGGATCACATGGCCACACTGTCGCCACCGGATCACATGGCCAGATTGTCGCCCCCCGATCACATGACCAGATTGTCACACCCCCCCCCGATCACATGACCAGATTGTCACCCCCCCCCCCCCCCCCCCGATCACATGACCAGATTGTCACCCCCCCCCCGATCACATGACCAGATTGTCACCCAGATCACATAACCAACAAACCTCTCCTGGGCTATAGCCGGCTAAAAGGGAGATCAGGCGGCCAATCACGTCATACATTACAACTAGGGATGCACCCGCATATCGGCCAAAACTAGCGCCATCAGCATTTTACTGATGGGGGAAAAAGCCGAAAACGAGCGATTTTACCACGTTTAGGGTGCGTTTTTCATAGGCCATGTGATGCAAACGCATCAAAAAAAACACAACACGTGTGCGTTTTTGATGGCTTTTCAATGCATTTCAGGCCTGGTTCGCACCAACGCAGGTTGTGTTTTTGCACCTGTGGAGGGGATTGGAGCCCCTGAACCACATGATGGGGAGGGGATTGGAGCCCCTGAACCACATGATGGGGAGGGGATTGGAGCCCCTGAACCACATGATGGGGAGGGGATTGGAGCCCCTGAACCACATGATGGGGAGGGGATTGGAGCCCCTGAACCACATGATGGGGAGGGGATTGGAGCCCCTGAACCACATGATGGGGAGGGGATTGGAGCCCCTGAACCACATGATGGGGAGGGGATTGGAGCCCCTGAACCACATGATGGGGAGGGGATTGGAGCCCCTGAACCACATGATGGGGAGGGGATTGGAGCCCCTGAACCACATGATGGGGAGGGGATTGGAGCCCCTGAACCACATGATGGGGAGGGGATTGGAGCCCCTGAACCACATGATGGGGAGGGGATTGGAGCCCCTGAACCACATGATGGGGAGGGGATTGGAGCCCCTGAACCACATGATGGGGAGGGGATTGGAGCCCCTGAACCACATGATGGGGAGGGGATTGGAGCACCTGAACCACAGGATGTGGAGGGGATTGGAGCACCTGAACCACAGGATGTGGAGGGGATTGGAGCACCTGAACCACAGGATGTGGAGGGGATTGGAGCACCTGAACCACAGGATGTGGAGGGGATTGGAGCACCTGAACCACATGATGTGGAGGGGATTGGAGCACCTGAACCACATGATGTGGAGGGGATTGGAGCACCTGAACCACATGATGTGGAGGGGATTGGAGCACCTGAACCACATGATGTGGAGGGGATTGGAGCACCTGAACCACATGATATGGAGGGGATTGGAACACCTGAATCACATGATTGGGAGGGGATTGGAACACCTGAATCACATGATTGGGAGGGGATTGGAACACCTGAATCACATGATTGGGAGGGGATTGGAACACCTGAATCACATAAATTTGAAGGGCGGGGCCAATACTTTTGGCAATATCGTGTATATTAATCTGGCTTATGCAGGCCATACACGGGTCGAATTCCGAACAAATTTTCTTTAGAAAATAAAAAATTTTATGCGTTTTGTAATCCGATGGCGCCACCATTAATTTAGAAATTCAACCAATCAAGCCTTCAATTCCCCCCCATGTTGCTACAGAAAAGAATTTTCGTGACCAAGAATTTTCTTTTGTTTCCAGGTCGCGGCTCATTTAGTTTTCGTTTATATTTCCCGCACGATTCTCCCATCATGCATTCGAAATGTGTTCGTTTTCAAACAAATTTCCAACATGTCCAATCACTCAAATTCGATGGTCACACAAAAATCGGCCGTTTATGTGATCCACTAATGATGGTCACGCAAGAACTACTTTAAAAATCGCACCGCAGCAAATCGCACGTGTAGACACCGACATTCACATTCATTAGATGTGATTTCAAGGTTTTTTTTTCGGGGTGGGGGGGGGGGGGGGGCCCATCAGTATTCTCTCCCTGCAGGCTCCTGAGATGTAAACCCGCCCTGGGAGTATCACAGAAGTAACCGAATTCCATCCTTTATTATCCCGGGCAGAATCCAGCTCGCCTCGCAGTCTATGGGTCTGACATCGCCCATCAATGGGCCCTCCTGTCTGCGGCCGCTCTTCATATTTACATTTTCTCACACACATAGAAAAATGAATCCAACAAAAGCCGCCTGTTCAGCGGAGGGTCCCGGGGACATGAGGAGCTTCAGAAAGCCGCCTAGGGAGGCCACAACAGTATAAATATTGCTGAAAACCAGAGCCCCCCCCCGAACTGATCCTTAAACATCCTAACACAAAATAAATATTTTTTATTATTATTTTTTGTTCAAATTTGAGTGTTTATTATTTTATCATTATTATTAATAATAATTTATTTTAGTGTTAGGGGTTATAATTGATTTATTATTACTTATTCATTTATGGATATTTTTTTATGTGTGTATTTATTTTATATTTTATCATCATTGTTGTATTTTATATTTACTATTATTAATTTTATTTTAGCGTTAGGGGTTATAATTTTTTTTTATTACTTATTCATTTATGAATATTTTTATTTTACATTTATCATCATTACTATTATCATCATTATTATTATTATTATTATTTATTAATAAATTTATTTATTTTAGGGTTAGGGGTTATAATTTATTTATGATTTTTATGTGTGTATTTATTTTACATTTATCATCGTTATTTCTATCATTATTATTATTATTATTATTATTATTATTATTATTAATAATAATAATAAATTAATTTTAGCGTTAGGGGTTATAATTTTTTTATTACTTATTCATTTATGAATATTTTTATTTTACATTTATCATCATTACTATTATCATCATTATTATTATTAATAATTTATTTATTTTAGGGTTAGGGGTTATAATTTATTTATGATTTTTATGTGTGTATTTATTTTACATTTATCATCGTTCTTTCTATCATTATTATTATTATTATTATTTATATAATAATAAATTTATTTTAGTGTTAGGGGTTTATAATTTTTTTTTATTACTTATTCATTTATGAATATTTTTATTTTACATTTATCATCATTACTATTATCATCATTATTATTATTATTATTATTATTAATTATTAATAATTTATTTATTTTAGGGTTAGGGGTTATAATTTATTTATGATTTTTTTATGTGTGTATTTTTTTTACATTTATCATTGTTTATTTCTATCATTATTATTATTAATAATAAATTTATTTTAGTGTTAGGGGTTATAATTTATTTATTACTTATTCATTTCTGAATATTTTTGTGTATTTATTTTACATTTATCATCATTACTATTATTATTAATAATAATAATAATTTATTCATTTTAACGTTAGGGGTTATACATTTGTTATTAATTTATTCATGAATATTTTTATGCGTGTATTTATTTTACATTTATTTGTTCGTATCTTATTACAATTTTTTTTTTTTTATATACACGGTTTCATTTGAGCCAAAAAAAAAAAACATAAATCATGCATTTTGATCAATTTTTATGGAAATAAAAATGCTCAAAAACACGCAAATCTGCCCGATTTGAGTGATAACAAAAAAAGCTCCAGAACTTGTTTGCGCTTCAGGCAACTTCTCCATGGAGAATGATTATTATTTTTCTCCTAAGGCATTTCGAGGTACAAGCCGCCCGGGTGAGAATGGGGCCCTAGAGCCGGTTCACACCACATGCAGCGAGATGCATTTCTGGCTGCACTCCAACTGCACAGACCGCCCATAACCCGGGCTCTGTGATTGGCCCCAGTGCAGCACGCCGCACCTTTCTGCACAGAACACTCCAATGGATTGCAGCCCAACGCAGCGCAAATAAAAGGCCAACGAAGGAGGAAGACGGACCGGAGCGCAAAGGAAACGGCAAACTTAGGAATAATCTGCTGCAAATGCGTGTCGCTGCCCGAGCAAAAAACACGCAGTGAGTGCGCAGATTGTGGTGTGAATGGGCTCCTCATGTCACACGGCTCGTCATACGAGGTGGCGGGGGATTATTCTGCCTATCTATGTACCAAACGCAGCCGGATATCACCCCCCCTACAAAGAAGAAAGCTGCGGGGAGACTTGTGAAGACAAGCCAGAGCCCCAACCAGACCAACCACCTGATCCCACATACTGTGTACTCTGCAGGTTCTGACAAGTGCTGATCCGATCCGAGAGGACAAACACCACCGACTGCTGACACACATCTACTGAGATCAGTCATATTACACATCATACAAAGCATGACATCACAGCCGACATATAGAAAAGGGGCGTCACCAATGTACAGTGATGACATCACAGCCGACATATAGAAAAGGGGCGTCACCAATGTACAGTGATGACATCACAGCCGACATATAGAAAAGGGGCGTCCCCAATGTACAGTGATGACATCACAGCCGACATATAGAAAAGGGGCGTCACCAATGTACAGTGATGACATCACAGCCGACATATAGAAAAGGGGCGTCACCAATGTACAGTGATGACATCACAGCCGACATATAGAAAAGGGGCGTCACCAATGTACAGTGATGACATCACAGCCGACATATTTAGAAAAGGGGAGTCACCGATTATGCGACAGTGATGACATCACACCCAGTATTTAGAAAAGGGGAGTCACCGATTATGCGCAGTGATGACATCACACCTCAATCAATCATCCGGAGAAACCCAGAACTAGATCTCAAACATTCCTTCATCACCTCTGACCTTTAGAATCGTCACAACAGAACCCCTCCCCCATCCATACTGGGCAAACCATGTCTCCCATACACAGCCGGGATCACCACCAATCATGGACTTCACTGTACAACCAGATCCTGCAGAACACACTGACCTCAGATCTCTACTGGAACCCACCACCCAGCACCTGCCCCACAGGATCCCTACTGGAACTCACCACTCAGCCCCGCCCCACAGGATCCCTACTGGAACTCAGCCCCCGCCCCACAGGATCCCTACTGGAACTCAGCCCCCCGCCCCACAGGATCCCTACTGGAACTCAGCCCCGCCCCACAGGATCCCTACTGGAACTCAGCCCCCGCCCCACAGGATCCCTACTGGAACTCAGCCCCCGCCCCACAGGATCCCTACTGGAACTCAGCCCCCGCCCCACAGGATCCCTACTGGAACTCAGCCAGCCCCACCACACAGGATCCCCCTACTCAGAACCCCCCTCCCCACAGGATCCCTACTGGAACCCACCAACATCGCTCCCCCCACAGGATCCCTACTGGAACTCAGCCCCCCGCCCCACAGGACCCTACTGGAACTCCCCCCTCCCCAGGACCCTACTGGAACTCAGCCCCCCCCCTACAGGATCCCTACTGGAACCTCAGCCCCCGATCCCCTACAGGATCCCTACTGGAACTCAGCCCCATCCCCTACAGGACCCCTACCGGAACCCACCACTCAGCCCCCTACCGGAAACCCACCCTCCCGCTACTTGATCCCTACGGAACCCACCACAACATCGCCCCCTACAGGATCCCTACTGGTACCCCAGCAACCCATTCCCCCTACCCCCCCCCATCACCACTACTGGAACCCACCACCCATCCCCCTACAGGACCCCTACAGGAACCCACCACCCTACAGGACCCCCTACTGGAATCCATCACCCATCCCCCTACAGGACCCCATCACCCATCCCCTACAGGACCCTTACGGGATCACCCATCCCCCTACAGGAACCCCATCACCCAGCCCCCTACAGGAACCCATCACCCAGCCCCCTACAGGAACCCATCACCCATCCCCCTACAGGAACCCATCCCTTTACAGGCCCCCTACTGGAACCCATCCCTTTACAGGACCCCTACTGGAACCCATCCCCCTACAGGAACCCATCACCCATCCCCCTACTGGAACCCATCACCCATCCCCCTACAGGACCCCTACGGGAACCCATCAACCATCCCCCTACAGGACCCCTACTGGAGGTCAATAAATCCCCCCACAGCAGGATCCCTACCGGAACACCACCCATCCCCCCTACAGGATCCCTACCATCCTCTGATCTCACTCCACCCCCACCTGTAGAAGTTTGCGGATCTCCATCCGGACACAACCCTCCGCAGATCAGGGTGGGGCCACACACATCACTGAGGGGCCGACTCCAGTAACAGATCATTTTGGGGTCCCCAGCCAATATCCTTCAAAGATTACAGAGGGGGTCCCCAACCAACCCCCTTCCCCCCCGCCAGTCTCTTTACTACTGATCACTACGGGGTGCACAGTCATTTCCCCTCCCCCCCTTCACAGAGCAGTGTGGACCCCATTAACCCCCAATACTTTTGCAGCATACAGGGGGGTCCCCAACCAATGACCTTCA